TAGCCCTTGTCATGCACTTATGTGTGGTGAAATTAGGTCAACAAATGCATTTAATTTGGGTTACAAAAGAGTTTATATTACGAAAGAAAAAGTTGGTCCCGTCAGTCTAAAGTAACCCCATGTCCACGCGAGGTACATCTTCTTGCCCACATGTATGCACATGCAAACAGATGATTTTTTCTTTTTCCCTTTTTTTTTTCTTTTTTTTTTCTTATTTTTTTCTTATGTTTTTTCGCTTCGTTTGTCTTTTATTTTCGTTCAATTGATTCCATATGATTTTTAATCACCCTTTTGTAGTCTGCATCAACCATTAATATTTGTACTTTGGTTTCCAAACTTTAGACATCCTTTATTTGTTGCCAAGTTTTGTTCATTTATTCTAATTTCACGACCAATCACTGAATTTAATCTAACAAATAAAATAAACAAAAGATTAAACTATAATTCATCAAAATAACCCAAAATATTTATATTTAATGGGCTAGATATGAATAACACTTATCATTAAAGAATTGAGGATTAATATGTTCAATAAGAAAATGTAATACGTGTTTGGTTTTGGTCTTATTGTTTTAGCATAGTCATATGCTGAAATACTGTTTTTGACAAATATTTATTTCTTCATTATTTTTTTTTTCTAACTTGGCGTAATAAAAACATTTTGCAACACGTTGGCATTTAATAATGTTAAATAATAGTAAACATAATTTTTTTTAACGAGTAACTACTAGTGTAATTATTAAGAACTTGAATGGCAATTATAGTAATAAAACCTTTGCAAGTACATTTTTTTTTTCTTTTAACACAATTGGTACAAGAGACTGTTATTTTCTGTGATTACAACTTTTGGTAACAGTCAATTACATGAAGAGAACTGTCTTTCTGTACAAATTCTGTAGAAAAAGTCTGTACTTATAACAACGTCGACTAATTAATCATAATTTTTGTGACCGCTAGTGTAATTGAATCTAGAGTAACAATTTATTATTGGGTATATTGCATTATTGGTCCTCATCTTATTGTTTTGGTAGTAAATGGTTTTATTTTATTTTTGTTGCATAGAACAACGGTTTAAATTAGAGTGGACGAATTTGTCAAACTGAAATCCGACTTCTTAGTTCATTTTGGTTCCATTTAACCCCTACTCTTTAAAATTCGTTTTCAATCATATATTCTTCCAATAAAATAATTTTATACGTAAACTTGAAATATTTTTGTACTTTTTAACTACATATTTTTCAAAAACAGTCATTTTTTACGTAGTCTATCCTAAAAAATGAGCTCAGATGGGGGATAAGTTATAAATAGGTCCCAGTACTAGAATTGAAAACTCCAAATGAGCTAGACTTCTAACTTGTTTGGTTCAGTCATCTGAAGAATTATAAGGATCATTTTTATTGCAAAAATGAAATTTGGGAGGAAAGAAAATGAATTCCAGAGAATTGAATTACCTAGAAATTATTTTTCTGGAAATTGTCAATTTATTGTGTTTGATTTGTATAATTTTTCACATGGAAAATGTTGAAATAAGTGTTTTTTTTGTGTTCGTTTGACTTTGTTTTATATAAAAATTGTCAATTAAATGGATAAAATTTACTGGTATTGGGGATAGAATTTGTTTCTATTGTCAAAAAAGAAAAAAGAAAAAAAAAGAAAATCATCTATCTTTTGGTTTTCGTTTGACTTTATTTTACATGGAAATTGTTAATTAAATAGAAATAATTTTTTACAATAATTCTTAAAATTTGTTTCCACTGCCAAAAAAATAAAAAAATAAAAAAACGAAACAAAAAAAAAATAAAAAAATCGCTACAGTAACTAGGAAAATGAATTCTCACCATATGTTTAGGTGAGAATTCATTATCCTCAATTACATGAAAAATGTCTAGGTGGCATTCAAAGTTGGAAAATATTTTCCATGAAAAAATAAATCCTATCAAATACTACAAAAGTTGAAAAATGAACTTGATTTTCTAAGTTTCATGGAAAATCTTTGGTTATCAAACATAGCCTAATATATAATTAATTCTCTCGATATCATTATGAAATTTTAATAATGTATTTGATATTTGAATTGGAACCGAACTATTCAGTTCCATATTTGTACTTAAAATCAATTATTTATATTATAAGATTTTCATATATATATATATATATATTCAGAGATAATTTCTGGACTTTTTCCTTTTTTATTTATTTCCAAAAATTCTATTTTCTGTAAAATATATCTTTGCATATCTTCTAAGTTTTCTATTCTTTTTCTTAATATTTTTATTTCTGATAATTCTATTTGGACTAAATTATTCTGATTTTCTTCTTCAGATTCTATTAATTCTTTTTGTATTAAACATTGTTTACATGCTTCTAAAAAACAATCTTTACATTTAACTCTTAATTTTTTACTAGGATACCATTTACATAAGAAACATGGTATGCTATCTGAACCTGTTTCTTTTACCCATTTATGTTTACATTCTAATTCTATATCCATAAATTCTAATTATTCATCTGAATCTGATAAATTTTTTATATTTGAAAATTCTTGTATAAAATTTTCAAAATCTGATTGTTCTTCTATATTATAATTATTATAATCTTCTATTGAAATAATACTATAAACTGATTCTTTATCTGAAATATATTCATCAATTTCTAATAAATCTTCATTAGTACATTCTACAAGATTACTTCTTTTATCATTATTATTTATCCTTTTTGGACATGTTTTAGCTAAATGATCTATCTCTCCACAAACATAACAATTTAATTTATTAGGATAATTTCTTTCTGGTTTATATTTTCTTACATGTTTATTTTCATCTAAATAAGGTTTTCTTCTATTAGATTTTCTAAGATAATATCTTTTCTTAAAAGGTTGACTAGTTTTTCTTTTATCATATTTTCTTTTATTATTTTCTCTAAAATTATTACCATAAGTCTGAGGTGTGAAAATATCTTTACAAAATTTATAATCTGTCTTTTTTAGTTG